TGTTGCAGAGGTCTCTGAGTTCCTGGATAGCTAAACTCCTCAAAACACTTCTCTAGGTAGCCCTGAATGAATAGGGAACCCTGAGATTCTCTTCTCAAGGCAAAGGAGCTTATTTTTCAAAGGAGCTTATTCTTTTACGCCCTTAAGCCTGAAATGGGTAGGGTCTTGTTGATTTCTGAGATGCCCTCATGACATTTTTCTTCTTGTCTCTGAACAAACTACTTGGTTTCTTTTTAATGTGACTAATCTCTTCAGCAGCCACATCTCTTTAGCATACTGGCATATACTTCCTTTTGGGCAATAATTTAAGTTTTTCAAATTGTTCTGCTCTGCTTCATCCTCATAATTCTCATAAATCTGACTAAAAGCAGTCAGCAGTACCCATGCCATAGACTGAACATTGGACTGTCTTGAAATTTCATCCACCAGATCAATCAGTTCATTGCCTTTAATCTCAGCCTCCTGCAGAGTCTTAGGACATGGGCAAAATGAACACAATTTTTTTTTTTTTTACCAGAGTATAACACTCATGGTCTGTAGTCCACTTGCTAATAGAGCTCTTGTTTCCAACTTAAACCTTCTGAATTCCTATGAGCATTCTGACCTTCTGAGCTCCAACCAGAATCACCTATCAGGCTTTGCTTACTGCATTCTAAGGTTTCTCTAGCTTACATCTCCATACCTTTCCAAAATCTTCCCACAAACAAGTTCCAAAGGCTTCTAAACCACATGGTGAGGTACAGTCCCAACAATGACTCCATTTCTCTGGTACCAATTATCTGTATTAGCTTTTCTCCACTGCGACACAATACCCAACACCCAACACCCACAGCTTAAAGGAAAAGTTTAATTTAGTTCATGGTTCAGGGGATTCAGTGTAAGGCCAGCTAGCTCCAAGGCAGAAACATCGTGATAGAAATGGATGGCCGAGGAAAGCTGCTCATGTCATGGGGCCAGGGAGGGAGATATACCCTCCAAAAGCACAGGCCCAGTGACACACCTCTTCCAAACAGGCCTCACCTGCTAACAGCACATTTAGCCATGAATTAATCAATGGATCAGTCCACCCATGAGTATAACACTCCATGATCCAATCAGCTCCCAAAAGCCCTACCTCTGAACACATGAGAGTTTTGGGGGAGCCTTCTAGACATAAACCATCACACCCTGCAAGGTGCAAGAAGGGTGCTAGAGCCACATTGTGAATACTATTGAATGGATATATTGCCTACCTGGATCCAGAGGAAGATAAGCATTCACTGGTTGAACCTAGGCCCTCATGCATGGCAGGCAAGTATTTTACTACTGAGCTATACCACCAGCCTCTGTTTCCACTCTTGACTATAGAAAATCCATGTCAAACACTCTAAGAAGTACTGGAATAGGCAAGAATTCTATATTCCTAACATAATTGATTCATTTCTATTAATCAGAGTCCTTTTTCATGTTATGTTAGAACTTCCAGTGCAGTCATCATAGCCCACATGCCTGGGAACACCTCTTTTCCTGCTATCCACTGTTTGTGGTTGGAAAGAATGGTTGTTCAGTCCTGTGCAACCCTTGCGCAGGTACAGAACTTTTCTGATACCGTGGGGGGAATGATCCCATATGCCCAGGCTTATTTTGTATTCTCTAGTTTTCCTTCTCACAGATCTTATATCAGAATTATATCATGGAAAGAACACTAATGTCCATATGTCCATATCACAGCTCAGCCCGTGAACAGTTATATGACCCTGGATCAGCCATACCTCCTTGCTGGGCTTCAGTTTCCTTGTCTAGCATGAAGAAATCAAACTAGATCATCCCATGGTCTTCTATGCTTTCTAAACTTGGCTTCCATTGTCACCTAAGAAGTCTCCCATCTGGAGGCTTCTAGTCTTTAACCCCTTTTCTCTCACTCCCTTCCATGGACATTTCCCACTACCTCAGAGAAGTTACTCCTCCACAAGTCTTGGTTGACATGAGAAAAATATCTTAAATATGTGTATCAGAGGTGTGGTTCCTGAAGAAGTACAGGACAGTAAGAATACAGCACACTTACCCCTCCCACATGTCCAAATGACCTTCATGAGAAGAGCCTATCTAGAGAAGATCTTATCTTTCTCATCATCTTTTCCTTGAACTCATATGTCATTGTTTATTCCACAGATATTTATTGAGTTATTTATTGAGTTATTTATTGATTTATCCTAAGCAGCAAGCACTTTTCTAATACCCAAATACGTCAAAGTTCTTGCCCTCATGGTATGATCATTCATTCTGACACACATACATTTATACATACTTAAGGAAGAAAAAGTACATTACTTTATTATTGTTAAAAAATGGAAGCTTAGCCTGGTATTGAGGTGCATGCCTATAATCCCAGCTACTTGGGAGGCTGAGGCAGGAGGATCACAAGTTTAATGCCAGCCCAGGCAACTTAGTGAGACCCTATCTCAAAATGAAAAGTAAAGGAGATACATAGCTCAGTGGTAAGGCACTTGCATAGAATGTGCAAGGTCCCCTGAGTTTAATCCAGGTGCCACCAAAGAAAGGAAGAAAAACAGGAAGGAAGGAAAGAAGGAAGGAAGGGAGGGAGGGAAGGGAAGGGAGGGGAGGAGTGAGGGAGGAGAGAAGAGAATTAACTGGTAGACTGGATGCTCTTTGGTTGAATGCAAGTTCTTTAGGAGCTTCCAAAAGTTTGATTTCTTTCCTTCGGCTTGTATCATTACCTCTGAAGCTCTCTTCTTTGACATGATTGGGGCAAAGGAAAAGCACTTGTTTCATTAATACACAAAGAGAGTTAAAAGGAGTTATCAAGTACATACATATATTGATAATTGTATTTCTAACATAAACATATATGTCCATTTTCCAATCAGTTAATTTTAGGCCAGCACCTTTTAAAATGTTTATTTAGCATTGTGATTCTCCTTCTTCAAAAGATTCTCACCCAATATTCGTCCCCTATAATGATTTTTCTAGTACAGTGAGAACTTAAAGACAATTGTGAAGCAATCTAAGGAAAAAATTCCTCTATATATTAATTTCCACCAATATTTTATATTATCACACATGTAATCTGACAGGATTAGCTCATCATTATTACCAATTCTTTTTAAAACACTCAACTTCATTTTCATAAACTACCTACTTACATTTCATTGAAATAATTTCAGTTTGATTATGTCAATGAAGTGAAGTTATTTCATGTTTTTTCTGTTTTATTTTGTTGGTGGTGGTAGTGGTGCTGGGGATTGAAGCCAGGGCCTTCACACTGAACTGCATTCCCAGCCATTTTTTATTTTTTTAATATTGATAGAGAATCTCCCTAAGTTGCTAAGTTACTCAGTCTGAGATTGAACGTGGCATCCTCCTGTCTCAGCCTCCCAGAGTGCTAAGATTATAGGCATGCACCACCATGTCTGGCTTCCCTTTGAGCCTGTGAAAGTTAATTTTGCAAAAGGTATGAATATAAATTACCAGACTTGTTTATAAATCAGTCTTTTCAAAGTATGGGTCCAATCATGTTACCTTTCAGCTCAGAGAACTCCAACATCTCTCCTTGCCTAAGGAATTAAATCTTTGCACTTTTCCCTGACCTTGAGGTCCCTCCAAGCAAGGCTGACTTACAAAGTTTTCCTGGTCCCTCTGTGTCTGTCCTCTACTCAGGATGCCCTGAACTGCTTGTGCCATCCTGCACTTGCTTGTGTTGTTGTTGTGGGACTTGGAATGCTTGTACTCCTTTCATGCTTGTGTCTGTTTAAGAATTAGGTTAGATTGCAAGAAACAGAATCCCCGCTGCCCATGCAATATAGACTTTATTTTCCTGAATTATGGAATCCTTGTTTGTTCTCTTACCCCAAATTTGCCCAACCATCCTTTCTATCAATATTGCAGTATTAATGGATTCACTTTGTTTTCATGTAGAACATTTATTAAATAAAGTTTACACTAGCACCCTACATGAAAAAAATACCACTTGATAAATATAAGCACATTGTAAAAATAAAGTCAATAAAAATCTATGATCTCAATACCTTGTAGTCAGGTAATTCTTTCCTGAGACATATGCTGTCTTGGTTAAAGTGCTCAAGATCAGCAGCAAACAGAGCTTCTCCTTGATGGAATCAGAGAGATTGATGAAGGGAAACAGATTGACTTTCTCACTGTTTTATAAGTAATACTGTATCTGTGAAGGCTCGCTGTGAATCGAGTATGCTTCACAAGTGGGAAAGCAGTGCCTCACGCATATGATAAAAGCAACTGAAGGGCAAGAAGTAATTTTCACCCCTCTTCATGTCACTCACCTTTGCAAGAATATAAACCTCCCCTACCTTCCAAGGAGCACTGAGATGCCTCGTGATGGGAAGAAAGGATCTGTCACTTATGCAGCCTTTGCCAATGGATTGGTCTGTCTGTCATCTTTGAAACTGCAGGATGACATATTCTTTAGACCTGTGGTCTTAGGATGAAGAATGAGCTTTTTATCCTCAACTTGCATGGGGTAGAGGCTGGGAGCATGTAGTTGGAAATAGGAAGAAGACTGGAGTTTTTTTGAACTTTGTTTTTTTGTTGTGGTTTTTGTTTTTTGGTACCAGGGATCGAACTCGGGTCCTTGCACTTGTAAGGCAGGTGGCGGAACCACTGAGCTAAATCCCTGGCCCCATAAACTTTCTTAATTCACTCTCCTTTTTTTATGAAATGCTCTCATGTTCTAATAGTTGGCTTGTGCACTTCACTGTCTCAGGTAAATTTTGGGGGGAGCTAGGTAAGACTTGGGAGATCATCGTCTTCTGCCTGAGCTGTATCCCTACGTCCTCTGCCCTGCCCTTTCCAATCTCCTTGAAGGAGAGGAAAACAGAAGTCCAGAGCGGACAGCTCTCCTACCCTCCATGGCTGCCTGTGAGTGGCAGCCTGGAAATCAAATCCAGATGCTTGCTGCAGAGCCCTTCACAAGGCCCTGGCCTGTGACTGATTCAAGATGCTCACGAACGTTCTTCCTCTTTTTCCAGGCAGTGCTGAGCCCTCTCATAGCCATCGCGCTGAAAATATCCCAGATTCACGAGAGAACTGGCCGGAGGGGACCCACTGTCATCACCTGAGTGGAGGGAGATCACTCACCAAGGCCAAAGAGAGCGCTCAGTGGTGGACACTTCACTGTGCCTTCTTGCTACCTGTTTGTGCCTCTTATGACATTGAAAATGACAAAAGATATTTTGTTGTTGGGGAGTAGGGGGTGGGTGGGGAAAAATCCATTTTGTTTTGCTTTTGTCCAGTTCCTCCAAATGCAACAGGATCTATAGCTGCCTGTTGAAGCTGCACATCTATCATTTGATATCTATATTTTATCACACAAAAGGGGCTCCCCTTTGGAGAAAGTGAGTGGGCCAGGAAACCATTAATTGCAGCTTCTGCACATCACCAGTGCCACATGAGAAAAGGTTCTAAAATTATTCAAGAGAGAGCAGTGTCAGAATTAAGGGATCCCAAGCCACAGCAGCCCGAGCAGGGAGAAGACCTCCCCCTGTGTAGAGGAAGAGTCAACTTTGCATCCTCGGCTGCTTCTCGACTCCTTACAGCCCACCCCATCCACACAGTGGCCCATGCTTCCCAGCCTCCCAGCACCCTAGTCCCACTTCCTTTCACATCTTCCAGATGGCTCTAGAACCCACAATGGCACACTTCCAACAAAACATATTAAAGGGTGTTTTTCTCTCTCTCATTTTGTAAATATTATTTTGGCTGTCAAGCTGGTTGCACTCCTTCAAATGCAGCCAGATTTCTTTGCAGGTGGGAAGGAGTTTCTTGACAAGATTCTGCAAATGAATGCTTAAAATGTGGGGGCCCTAACTTGATTATACACATAGGTTGATACATGGCTTTATATAGATTGTTCCCGAGAAGACAGAAACACCACTGTGTGCACTATGTCTCTGATTTTCCCAGTAAGGGCAAGTTTTCATGCACTTGTTTGAACACAGTTCTGATCTTATTTACAATGGCCATGAAAAGGAGAGAATGAAATGCTGTGAAGGTAGGAAATGCAGAGGATGCTGGAAGAAAACATTACTTGCAGGACAGTCGTGAGGCTCATGAGATGCAAGAAAGGGCTGCATTGCCTGCTAGGAAGCAGGGGATCACAACAGCCTTTGTTTGCTGAGGATAGAAATGGATACGCAGCTCGAGCAGGCTCATCTGTACTCAGCCAGAACGCTGGGGGCATGGGACCTGTTTGTGTACGTTTGCTTTCTGGGGAACGGCACACTCTGTTACCGCGTCATTCGCCAAGATGACCTAGTGCACTTTGACTGTTAAGCAATGTATTGTGGCTGTAGTCAAGGTTAGTGCAAGCAAGGAAACATGTCCAGGAAAGTAATTGTTTTGCTGTCTATGTTTCTGTCAAAAACCTGCTAGGACATTGCTAGCCAATAAAAAGAGAAATTCCCTATTTTAACCTGATTCAAGGATTGTAGGTTTCAACTCATTCGCTTCACCATTTCAGCAGCTCGCGTAATGACCACCTATCTGACACACGTGTTTTCAGAATACTTGCAAGGACTGTTTTTCATGATTATAACCTGGGGAATTGGTGAAATAAATGGAACAGAAAAAATAAAGTGCTCAAAATTCCCTATGGGAGTCAGCAGAAGCTAAACACATCTAGACATTCATTGTAACAGTCTTTATTTTGAAATAATAAGAAAGTGACTCTGACCTGAGACTTAAAAGAATCAGTTATGAAATGTATCACCAATGGAATAAAATTTGCCTTAAATCTTTGATACTTCTTATCTCTTGAGTAAAAGCCCCCGACAACCATCCATCTGCCCATTAATCATAGATGTTTTATTCTGGATAATAATACATTCTGTGTAAGAAAATACTTTCAAGTTTCCAAACTTTTTAATCACTTCTAACATTTAAGTTCAAATGTAACTTATTCCTTACTTAAACATTCTGTTTCTTTATTTGACTATGGAGTCACATGCATCCAATAGCTCAAATATATATTCACTCATCAATTCACACATTCATTCATTTAGCAAACATTTACTGAGCAACTACTCCACTGAGACTCCTATTTTAGATGCAGTGAGAGGTCTGCTAATACAGGCAGGGTCGAAGCAGACACAAGGTTGTGAAAATCGAGACGAGCAAAGCTGTACATTACTTTATTTTTCCAAAGCTTTTTCTAAAAAGAAAGAAAAAAAGTGAAAGGTCTTTTGGGCCGGGGATTTAGCTCAGTGGTTCCGGCGCCTGCCTCGCAAGCGCAAGGTCCCGAGTTCGATCCCTGGTACCCAAATTAAAAAAAAAAAAGCAAAAGTCTTTTTGTGGTTCTAGGGCACAGCCTCTCTCCAGTACCTGCTCAAATTCACATTGCCAAGGTGTCATTTACACAGAGACCCAGCTTCTTCAGTTCAACTTTACATGTATGTCCACTTCCCTCTTCTCCAGAGAGGTGATAGTCAGGAAGCCATTCTTCTCCACATAATGTTCTGAATGTTCTTAAAGACAGAACTTCAACCACCAGTCTTGAAAAGTAAATGACTTGAGAGGTCTGAGAATTTTGTGGGAATCACAAGCATCCATCACAGAAGAGACAGAGTGTGGTAACTCGGGGCCACTCTGGTGATCTAAACCAAGGCGTTCACTCATGGCAACAGGCACCTCCAGAACAATGACAAGGTGCAGTTGCATTATAGAGCAGTAGTTCTCAACCAGGGCGGTGGCCCCACCCACCCAGGGGGTGTTTGGAAATATGTACGTGTATGTGCCAGGGCGACATTTAGTTGGACAAGATGGAGGATGCTGAATGCCTTGCTAGGTGTTATTTTGCCTCACCCAGGATTCTGTCCTTAAAAATCTGGTAGCCATCATTGCAATGAGATCATTTATTAGATCTTAGCGATCCAGGGTACACTATACATTCACAATATTTGAGGGACAAATAGTTTTTCATGACGTTACAAGCTAAAGGACTTGAACGTGACAAGAATATTTTCTGCACAGGAAGCCTTGGACTGATGCAGAATCCCATAGCAGTCCCTTGGGCTGAGAGTTGTCTGTGCTGAGCCACAACAAAGATAATGGAATGATGACTTCTAACTGGCCACCCATGGGTTAAAGACATGTGCTCCCTTAGCTATGGCAGGTGTGAGGAATTGAAAAGCACTTGTGGGGACTGGTAAAGACATAGTAGGATGACTGCCCCATTCTTGGATCATGGACCAAGTCCTCTAGGGTGAACCCTGAAATCCCAGACATGTGCCTCGGGGAGATTTCCATTCCTGGATGTAGAAGGGTCTGAGAAACTGTGTGGCTTGGGAAGTGATGTAGCTACTAGTAAACCAGTGTTGAGATCCTCAGTAGTTATGAACAACAAGAGATTATCTGAGGTAGCAGAGCTTAGCAGAATGCCTGTTCCACTTTAACTTGGATTCTTTACCTGTAGAAATAGCTCATGCAGCTGATAGCCTAGGTTAGTGGTTGCAAACCTATGGCACATGTGTTTTCTTTTAAGACAAAAAATGTTAATGTATGGGGTTTTTTTTCTAAACTAAAACTTCAATATTTAGTTTTAATTGCAGTGTTGGCACTTTTCGACAAATGAGTGGGTTTGGGGTTTGGGCACTCATCTCTAAAAGGTTCGCCATCACTGGCCTAGGTTATCCTGGAACTTTTGAGGATTCGTTGAAGATGTGGAATATTACTCTACATCTTTATCATCTCTCCATGTCTTTTAGTACCTAGTTTGTTCCCCGCAAGTAGGTGAGCTGGAGTGATACACCAAAGACAGTATAGTTAAGTAAAATCTTGAGGGATAAATGTTGTATCAGTAAGAAGTACTTGTGAGTTTTTGCATGGGGGAGTGAAAAAATGAACCCAGCACATATCAAATATACAAAAGATACAGCATAGTTTATCGCATAACTGATCTTGTCATCCTCATCTCTGGGGTGGTAGAGATGATTATTTAAACTTGCTGCTCAAAGGAACATCATGAGATCAAGATACTGCAGGACTAACAACTTTGCAAAATTCATTTCCCCATTGCCATGTCAGCCTACCATTCACATTTGAGGGGAAGAATGAGCTGAGATTTTCTTAAAGGAGACTTTCCTCTTTTCATTTCCTCACAGTTCCCAGCATTCATGGAATTATGCTTGCCAGTCTATTACCATTCATTTTATCATAAACTTGAGAAAGAAGGAGAAATACAGTGTCTATTTTCCCTAAGCCAACCTTCCAAGGGATGGCCAATGTATTATCACCTATCTTTTGTTTGACTTGTATGGTAGATTTTAGTTGACGTCTCAAATATAGGATTTGCTTTGGGTAATATCCATGTTCATGATGCTTAATTCAGAGTGCAGATGTTTTAAAAATGAATAAGTCCCTGTTAGTATTTCTTTTCAAAAAAAGCATCCAAGTTACTTTGTGAATCTTCAGTTGGTACTGAATAATGTTTGGATTTGCAGAAAAATGAACTCATCTTGTTACTGTGTTAGTTTCACATGGAGAATGATATTTTGACTAACATTCCCCTCATGATTATTCCCGATATAAAAAAGGCAAAGAAGGAAAGTTTGAGTACAAAATGTATTAGCATAAAGAAATTAAAACAATTTCTTATGTAAACCAAAGTTAACATCTGTTTTCTTTGACTCTCAGTAGTTGGAAAAGCCATCTATTACACATATAAACTCTGGATGAAAGCCAGGTCAATAAATGTGCTCAGAGTCCCAGGCATATTTTCTTCGTAGAAGGATAGGAAGAGATGACAAGAAAGGAATAATAAATTACATTGCTAATAAATGATCACCTTCATATTAAACAACCACAGGTGACCTTCATATCTAGCAATGCCCTCCTGGTCAAGGATTCAAATTAGGTTTGTTCCCAAATGCATACTTCATGGAGGAATTTCCTCTAATAAGGCTTCCTGGGACTTTGTCAGGATACATTCAACTCTGTGCACTCAGAAATGATGGCGATGAGGAGGCCATAGAGACCTGTTCCATCTAGATGACCCTCTTCCTTGAAAGATGATGTACTTCCCTCCAATTATTGTGAGCCTCTGTGCCAGGCACCGTAGCTGTCACCCATTAATGTATCCCGTGTCATCAGAACAATGACCAGAGGAAGGAAGGTGAGGCCCTGGCTCCCCGGAAGAAAGCATAGCAAGTGTATTTACATTAAAAATTTTTATTCGTATATATTTGTGATAAATAATGAATATATTCATCTTGGGACACTGATATATATATAATGCGTCTTGATCATTTTCGCTTCATTTTTACATTTTAAATGAGAAGTCCCTTAACTCTAAAGCTACCTCTGCTGCCTCCCCAAGGGCTTAAAGATATTTTAGTAACCCTAGATCTCCACTTTCTCTAGGACCCATTTTCAGAGTGGGAGAGAGAAATCCAAACTGCTTCCTAAAAGGAGGAAAGTAAGACAGGGCTAGCTTAGCACAAGAGCTTGAAGTGGACTCTTCTTCGCCCTCCCTCCTGGAAGTTCCCATGTATTATTGGACAAGTTTCTTTCCTTCCCAAAGCCTCGGTTTTGTGCCTCTGCAGTGTGGAATAAAGACTAAGTAACATGCACGAGGTCATAGCGCAGAGTTTGTCTTATAGAAGGCTTGCCATAACTCAGATATTACTCTCTGCGTGGACATCTCACTTGACAGAAGAGGAAATGGAAGCCCCGAGAGATGAATACCCTTGTCCAAGTGTAAAAGCATCAGGTTGCATCTCATCCAAGGACCCTGCTACCTGACTTGTCCTCTTGCATTAAAAAAAACTACAAAATGTAAGGAAACTAACAGTTGACATTGAGTATTAAAATAAATGCCCCTAGTCTAGAAGTTAAAAGCTCTATCTTGAGACACAAAGAATTTCCTAGTAAATTAAAGTCTCTCATTTTTCAAATTCTGGAGATTTACAAGGAGATTCTTTGCATTACATATCAATATTTTAAAACTTCACGTGATTTATATCAAATTGTGTATTAATATTATCTGTGGCTAATGCAAATTCCACTTCACCCTGAATTCTGTGTATTATGAACTAAGTACTTGTCTATTCTATTTTAATCTATAAGAAACCTTGTATCTGCTTGTATGAGGACCTCTTAAAAATAACTCATTCAGTATTTGTGTTTGAATCATTTTAAAAGCCCAGACTTTTCCTTTCATATTAGAAAAAACCGTGCATAATTACAATAAAATAGTGCAAAATAATAGTCATGGGTTCCAAGAGCCTGTCTCTTATGATGTGAATTACTGCAGTTGCTCTGGTATCGTAGTCTATGCGAGGAACCATGAAGCCAGCTAACAAAATGCTGAGCCACATATTGAATGACAATGACTTTTCCTTCCCAGAACCCTTCCATTTGGGATTCTCAGGTAATGTCGTGCATGAAGGCCACAGCTATCCCAACGAGCTCCCTGTGTTCCTCCCTGCTGGGGGCTGAGCTGATTAAGGGGGTGCTGAGCTGGACAGAAAGCCTCAGGGAGAGCAGAGCCACCCTGGACACCACTTTTGCGGTGCCAAGGCTCACCTGGCTCGGAATTAGTGAGAATCCTCTGAAACGTCTGCCGGTGCTGGCCATGCCCTGCCAGGGCCCCCATGCCGCCCTTGCGTGGGTAAGCAGCTCTGGGAAACTTCGTGGCTGTCCCGCACAGCGTGGCGGCTCAGGCTCTGGCCCACCTTTCTTATGAGCTGCTGAGTCCCACAAAGGTGCATCCTGCGTGCTGGACAGCATGCCCTGCCTTCAGCTCTGGGCTTGGCCTTGCAGTATCTTCTGACGTCACTGCAGCCACCAAGTCTGCCATGGACTCTTGGTAGGAAGGCGGGGCCTCTGGGTGGGCTTTGTTTTCATCCTTGAGCTCAAGGCCGGTCTCTGTGTACAGCGGTGGGGGAGCATCCAAGGCCTTTACCTCCTCAGCCAAGGCCTGTTTCTCAGCATCAACACTCTCTTCATAAGCTGGAGGGTAAAAGTCCGGCCTGTAAGACAAAATTTCATAGTCATACATGTATTATTTCAGCATTAATGTCAAAGGGGCTTATGTCTGCCTTTCTCAACTCACATTGTGTGGTGTTAAACCAAGAAACACTGTGCTGAGAAACACTGATTTTTTTAAAAAAACAGATGCACTTCTTTTCTGGCATTACCAGGTTTTAAAAAATGGCTCCCTACCAGAAGAATTCTTTATTAGCCTTGGGATACTTGTCTTTAGTCTTTTTTTTTTTCTTCCGTACATGCCTCTAGTGAGATATATTTTTTTTCAGCAGAGTATTCAAGGCTATTGCTTCTTGCTCATTCGCTGATAGGAACAGAGCTATTCGGTGTGAGATCCTTATCAGCGGGGAGAACACAGGGGCTTGGACCGGACCCCTTTCTAGCCAGTACTGAGCCCATTCACAACCACAGTCCCAGCATGCACATCATTTCCTACTCCACTGCAATCACTCTATCCGATTTTCTCAGCCAACAAAATAAGGAATGAAAACCAACTACATGGCCATCCCTGAACTGAACCAGATGCCACACCACTTTTTTCCTAGCACCCTTTCAAGTCCCACCAACTGGTTCCTAAAGAAAGCATACCAAGACCCTCACTTCTCAAACCATGTCAGCAGACAGCTTGATACAGACTTCAGTTGCAGGCTTTCTGTGCCAACAGGCCCATAGCTCAGCATGGTTCAAGAAGCCATTCACAGCAGGGCTGATGTCTCATCGGTCATCTTGCCCAGCATTGCTAATTGCTAAATTCCTTCTGGCTTCTCAATCGTGAATGGGATCGGAGGTGGTGGAGATGAGGAGAGCCCGGGCAAGGAGCTTGGTTGAGATGAGTATTTATAGAGCAAGCAGACCCAGTGCCCACAGGGAGTGTTTATGGTGTGTAACCACAACATGACAGGGACTGCCATTTGTGGCCACAGCTCCTTTCCAAATGTCACCAGGTGCAAAGGCAAGTAGCTGAAGGGGCTGTCTACTGTACAGCATAAATCTCAGCCTTCACTCAGAACAGCCAAGGCTGAGTCATGGGACGTTTGTAAAGGCCCCGGGGACAGGAAGGTGAGCTATTCCCTGGAGCAGTTTGAGAGGCTCCAGGATGACTGCAGCCAGCCCCAAGAACCATCCACCTTTCTCAATCCCATCTTCCCTGCCACCTACTGCAATTCCCATTCCCAGGCCCCTGCATTCCACCTTCAGAGAATCATCTGCTTTGGCATCTCTACCTGGCTACCTATTTGGGTGCAAAGCTTCTGAAGAAAGCAACTTTCCAATTTGACTTGTAAGCTATTCTGAGGGGCTGCGAATCTCAGAATGCAACATAAGTGGCAATAAAATGGGTGTCATGTTATCCATGATTCACTTTCAAGTATTCCAGTACAGGCAATATAATATTATGCATGTGTTAATAAATTGAAGCTACATTTTAAAGGTACTTAGTTATTCTTATCATCTAACATTTAGTCAAAAATAGAAATCAACACTCTAGATGCATCTTCTATAATCACCTAAGTTATCTTACTTTTGGATCAAACCCAGAGACCTTGCTGGTTTCTCTAATAAACATGGGAAATGGGTTTGGGTTATACCCCTGCCCGAGGAGGACTGTCCCAGGCTGTACTTTAGGGGCGATCCTGAGATTTTTATCTCAGTGCTCCTGCGTTCAGCTGAGAATTACAAGGTTTATGGTCTGCTAACCCATAAGGTTAATCCAATCATTTTTTTTCTTGTGGTAATATTAATGTTATGGTGGAGCGACTTACATATATATCTCATGTATAATTAAATATACTATTTTAAGTGTACAGTGAGTCACACTAAGTATACTCATATGGTTGCACAACCATCTGAAACTCCTCCATCACCCTAAACTGAAACGTAGTCATTAGACAATAACTTCCCATATTCTCCTCTCCCCACTGGCCTGGGAACCACTGTCCTACTTCTTCTGTGAATTTGACTGCTCCAGGTACTTGAAATAAGTGGAATCATACAATATTTGTCCTTTATGACTGGCTAATTTCACTAAGCTAAGCATAACTTTTTCAAGGTTCACCCATGTTGTAGCATGTGGCAGGATTTCGTCTCCTCTGATGGCTGAGCAGTATCCCATTGTGTGTGTACACCACATTTTGCTTGTCCATTCATTGTCGATTAACCTTTGGGTTGTTTCCGCCTTTTGACTCTTGTTTGTGAACAATGCTGCTGTGAACATTGTTGGATAAAGATCTGTTTCAGGTCCTGCTTTCAATTCTTTTGTGTGTATACCTGGAATAGAATTGCTGGATAAAATGTAATTCTACATTTACTATTCCAAGTGTCCTTACACTGGCAGCATCATGTTACCTTCCTACCAAACATGCTTAATGGTGCCGGTGTCTTCCCATCCTTGCCAACACTTACTTGTTTTCCTTTGATAATGTACGATTAACTGAATCTTCACCTTTAGAATATGATTATCTTGCCCTGAATGAGTTTTTCAGATAAGGTGAGACCAGAACGTGTAAGAGACCAGTAGCTGGGACTTTCCTGAGTCGTACAGGTTGCAGGACTGATCTTGTGTCTGCATACCCATAGGTCCTGTGGCCGAATTTGGTCTGGGATTTATTTACCTTGTAATTTGGTAACCAGGTTAGAGGGAACAACTAATCATCACCTGCCTCTGACTAATGACAGCCTCAGGGATATAATACAAGAGCCTAGAGTTTGGGCCACTTAAGCTAGCTTTAGAAGTTGTTCACCAAGAGTGACAGTGAAAGTGGTGGTGTTTCTTTAAGAAAATTCCTTTTCCTCAAGTATTTCTCCCAAAGACATCACATTCTTCCCTAATGACTAGCCCCAGAGTCATTAGAAATCACTCAGCTTCCCACACCTCAGCCCATCTCAGCCCTTGCCATTCCCTCTGGCTCTCAGCACGTACCTGTCCACTGTGGCCAGGGGCAGGTCCCTGTGAGCAAGGTACTGTCTGAGCACATGGCTGAACACCCCTTTGCTTTTGCTCGCTTGCTGGTAGGTGCTCCAGAAAATGCCACTCAGAAGCATCACAAACCCTAGAGGCAGAAGCAAGTATGCCAGGACCAGGTTCTTCTGACAGTGGAATATGGAGTCAGAGGAAATGAAGAAAGCTCCCAGGCAGATCATCAGGAAACCGACCAGGAGGGTGAGAGCACAGAGAACTAGGCCAGTTCTGTTCTGCATCCCTGCTCCTCAGGATCTCAGCAGCTTGACCTTGCCACTCCTCTACTTCCAGGCTGGCTTAAGGAGAATACACTCATTAGCTGGCTTGCAGCTTTATATGCTCTGGGCCCAGCTGGCCTTTGGACAATTAAATGAAGCAGAAACTGAGAAGCTACTCATTAACCACTGAAAGTTACTGTGATATCCTGGGAGGGTGAGCCTCAAAACATCACATTGTGTACTACAGGAAGGGGTGGCTACATGGAACCTAAGGCATTTTGGGCTGATGGGTGAGACCACCAATAGCTCACAGGTATGTGAGGAGAAGTCTCTCATCTTTTGACTCAGAGGGCATTGGTCTCTTAACCACACACCCCCCAAAGGGTAATTCCTCACTAAAAGCTAGAAAAATTAGCATTCCTTGATGAACTAACTTCTTCGTGATGTGGCCAGGACTCCTCTCCCAATTTCTTTTTCCCACTTGACACTGAAAAGGTATTTCTTCTAGTCTCTTTAGCATTTTGTCTCCCCTACCTCAAATACCTCACTTTCCCAACAACACACTTTCATTCTGAAAAAAACACTAAGAAAAAAGTTCAGGGTGTGAACTCCTTGAGTCTTTTTCTGTTGATAAGAAGAGTTTTATAGGAGGAGAATGCTTTTGAGGACAGTAGGAGACAGAGCCTTGGAAATCTGGAGGAATTCCTGGAGATGGTTGTAAAGGAGGATACAGTTTCTAGTTTTGAATCTTTCTTCTACTAATGCATGCAAGTTTGTTGCATATTTTTTGCTTATTGTTCAAATGCTGGCCACAATTCCTGGCTCACCACAAATATTCAAACTTGCTCTCAAATGAGACCATTAGCATTGGAGCTAAGAGTATTTCCTAAAGAGTGTCCTGTGTTACCTTCTCCATGCAAAACAAATAAATACATTGTCAGAAATGCTTCTTATTGCTTCCCCACCCTACCTCCCACACACATTTTGGAGTTTCTCATATCACATTAGCATATTCAGTGCTCCAAAGAATACTGCAATTCCTTCTTTCTAAGACATATATTTAGTGAAATTTATTTTAGTAGATGTTGCTAAAGAATTTTTACCTGTTTTCTCTTATATCTTTGCTCTATGTAGCATTCGGTTTAAAAAATCTTTCCAGAAGCAGCCTTCTTTTCTCTGTCTGGAAATTGCTGACTTCTTTTTGCAGATACCTTATTCCAGGTCTGGTTCATGCCCTGATTCCTCCCCCTACCTTTTTTTTTTTTTTTTTTAACCTGAAGCTTTGTCATATCCCTGCCAAAAGTCTCCTTCCTAGAAGGACCCTGAGCCATGTATGTCCAGAGAAGTTACCTACAGTTTCTCTTTGCTTCTCCTCTCCGCTCCACTCCACTACTATTGTTTTCCATGTGCTTTCCCAGTGGGAAAAGCAGTTGTGCAATGTGCTAGTAGTGCTGTGAATACTCTTGAGCCTCATACCCCCCATCTCCTTAGCTCCAGCTTTATTTCAGGGCTAGAAATGAGAAGAAGACACTATGGATTTAAAAATGATGCAAGGATATCAGACACATCCACATTCCACCACTTAATACGGTGGTACCTTGCTTCACAAACTTAATTCATTACATGATTCTGGCCAGGTTCATGTTTGTGCAGGAAAGATGGTCGTGGTCATGTTCCTCACCCGATGCCGAGTTCTCAAACAAAAACAAAACTTTGCCAAACACTTCTGTTTGTGAACCAAGTTGTTCACAAATAAAAGTGTTCAAAGCATTCATGAGCTGAGGTACCACTACACTTATTTGTATTAGTTTCAAATTTCAATCCTGATTTACTTCCATTTTCTATACTATCTTTGCTGTTTTAAAACAACTTTTTCTCCTTGCTTCTCCACTTGGTCTTCAGATAATTGGTTTGCTTTTTCTTTTCTTTTTTTTTTTTTATAATTGGTTTTCTAAGATGATTCCTGCTTCCTGGTATCCATATCCACATGTGAGTAATTCCTTCCTGTTGAGTGTGGGCTAGGCTTTGTGACTTGATTTTAGCCAATAGAATATGGCAAAGAAGATACAATGTCACTTCCACGATTAAGTTACAAATGATTATGACTTCCATAGTCTTGCCAGCTATGAGTCTCTTGTCTTCTTGGCTCACCCCCTTTGAAGAAGGAGGCTGCCACACTGGAGATGCCCATTTGGCAAGAACTGGAGGAAACTTCTAGACAGCAGCCAATGAAGAACAAAGGCCCTTAGTCCATAAACCCATGTGGAACTGTATCCTGTCATCAAGCATATGACCTTGGGACCAATTCCTTGCCCAGTTGAGCCTCGAGATGAATCCTGCAAGCAACACTTTTGTTGAGAGATCTTGAAACAGAGGACCCATTTAAGTCATGCTTGGATTCCTGACCCATTGTCTTAGTTGTTTTTCTTGTGGCTGAGATAAAATACCCAACACTTGCAAGTTAAAGGAGGAAAGATTTATTTTAGCTCATAGTTTGTAGACATTTCAGGGCAGGGTGGCATGGCAGAGGGGCATCACAGAGGAGAAACAGTTTATGGCCTGGCAGGCAGAAGGCAGCAAGCAGCAAGACTGCCTTCTTTCTGACCCTTTGTATTCTATCCAGGCTACAAGACTATTGATTGGTACCACTAATGCCTGGTGTGAGACTTCCATTATCCACCCTCAATTCTAGGATCGCACCTTTCATCCACATTCACACACCGTAATCCAGTCACCTTTGGAACTCCCCACCTATGACCACTGAGCTCAGGGTATTTGAGTTTATTTGGGGTGAGACGGGGCACCAAGAGGGAATGTATAGGAGAATCTATAGTATATGAGGGAAGTAGAGAGGAAAAGGAGAAAATGAAGTGTAACTGAAACTATGTGTTTCTTTCATAAAGGTTAATAAACACTAGGGGACTGGGGATATAGCTAGTGGTAAAGAGCTTGTCTCCAGTGCTGTGTTCCATCCTCAGCACCAGAGGGAAGGAAGGAGGGGAGAAAGGAAGAAAGAAAAAGAAGAAAAAGGAGAGAAAGAAAGGCAGGTAACGTTGAGGTTATTTGTGTTGTGTACTGTGTGTCTTTATTACTATTAAGAATATGTTACTAAATCTACTATTTTTACTGTGCCTCTGTTTCAGTTATGAGCCACATGGGTCACTGTTCTGTAAGCATTATACCCACTTTGATGCCTTAAAAATTATCAAGAATTAGGCCGGGGATTTAGCTCAGTGGTTCCGCCGCCTGCTGTGCAAGTTCAAGGACCCGAGTTCAATCCCCAGTACCAAAAAAAAGAATCACTAAAACCAGTACCTTATAGTTTTTAAAAAAATTGTTATTACTGTTATTACATAGAGTTTTCCTACTATCTGTGTTCTCTTTACTTAGAGTCACTAGCAATAAAACTATTTTTTTAAAAAGGAGGCAAATGCATGATTGCTTTAATGATGCTGAAATGTCACAAACACTAAGAGGACACACCCTGTTCTTTGGGCATCTGAAGGGAGTCGAAAAAACCCAATCAGAAGAACAGGTGTAATGACAGAAGAGAAAAGAAGACAGATCACCAGAGCAGGGGGAAATAAAAACAGTCCAGGAATGATCAGGCAAACACTAAGCTGCCGCCTTAAAGACTCAGTTTCAGGGTCTCCTTGGCCTTTGGCTGAGCTTTCTGACGTTCACCTGCTCTTCTGGATCTGCCTTTTCTCCTAGACTGGCTGTCTTGTCCTTGCCCTCCTTGCCACAACTCAGCACTGATTATGGAATAAAAGTGTGGAGACTGCAGGAAGGAGGGATAGATGATCCACTATGTTCACGTAAACAGCACGGTACTGGCAGGAAAGTGGAAAAGAGACTCTGGGAAAAGAGTTATAAAGACCCAGTGGAAGCCAACCCAAACTTCTCGTCCTTGTTCCTATCCTCTCCACAGGGACCCAGTGAGGAAATAATGTCTTACTTTTAAATCAGTCTATTTCTTCTTCTTTTAATTTTCTTTTCTCTCTCTCTTTTTTTTTGGTACCGGGGATCGAACTCGGGTCCTTGCACTTGCACAGCAGGCGGCAAAACCACTGAGCTAAACCCCTGACCCCCTATTTTTTCTTCTTAAAAGTTTACCAGCCTTGCCAGTAGGCAGAAAGATGTTATTTAGTTGTCAGGCAAATGTCTGAGAACATCACGACTCTTACACTCTCTATTCCTGTGAGCATGGCAGACCCATGAGCACTGTTCTGAACGCTGTGTGTGGCCAAGTTCCAGGCACTCTTTGGCCTTTCTGTCCACACCAGAGGCCCCAAACCATCTCCTTGGCATGTGCTTCTTCCCCTTGAAAGCAGAAACAGCATATGCCTCCAAGTAAGACATCTACGGGGATTTTGGAAGAAAGCTGATGGCTTGTAGAAGCTGTAGCCTAGAAGAAGCCAGGACCTAGAGCTGAGGCAGAGCTACAGATTTCAGAAGTTCACTTTTGTTCAGGAAGCAAGCTCGTGGGTGTTGTCGGAGAGGTGAGCGTGTGTATAACTGGAGATGTTGCCCAGCGTGACTGAGCGATTTCTGGATTAGCTTTTCACACTTGAGGGTTCATTGAGCACTGGCCACTTCCTCCTCCTTGTTTTCTTTGCTTTTGAGTCTTTTTCCTCATCACCCATTTATTTGTCCCTCTCCCAGTCATAAGAAGCTTTAAATGGAGGGATTTTTGAGGTTGGCAAAGGAGAAACAGCTCCGCAGAAAATGCAGGTGCTAGGTAGCAGGTGAGGGTCCCGCTCTCCCCTCCCGCAGTGAGCCCCATAGGTCCCCGGGGTAGAGGCACTGAGCCAAGCCAGAGCTGGGTGGGGCCCTCAGGCATTTGCCCAGGGTGTAAAATTTGTGGATGAGAAGAGTGGCCAAAAGTTAGTCATCAAGAAAAATCTTTGTATATTCCAGTAATTAAACTGGCAGACTCTTGCTCCTAGGCCAGTTGCTTGTTTCTGTAGTAGTTTTTGTCAGGAAATTGGCTCATGTCTGTGGACCTAACAAGAAAACAAATTCTGTTGCAATGAGAGCTCCGCTTCCAATGTAGTCCACAAATAACCCAGAGCAGATTTGATTTCATTGAG